TTCAGGGTGAGAACAAAGGGGAAAGTGGATAAAAGTACTGCCCTACGCCAGGAGGATGCATGCCAAACAGCAGCTCCCAGCCCTTCCTCCCCTTGATCGCACATTTCCCTGGTGAAGTGAAATTTCCCGGTGACACTTGGTCTTGGTGGATGTTCCATCTTTCAGTTGTTGCTGGGCATAGTCCCAAAGTTAAATGCGGAGAGGACGCCTTTATTTTCAAAGGTGAAGCCTCCCTGTTGTTCAATCTTCTTCTTTGCCTCTAGCATTTGCCAAGAGAAAGGGGAAGAAGAAGAGCATTTAAAGTGCAAAGCTGGAATTCACCTCAAAGGAGCCAGATTCTTTGTACTTAGCACCGTGCAGCAGTGTCACTCACGGCATTAAGTGCCCTGCCCTACTGAGCATTAGCTCTAGCAGACTCAGGGCAGTAAGTAACTTACCATCATGGGAAACTGTTTGCTAACAGTGAGCAAAATGAAAACAAGTCTCAAAGTTGAGTTCTGCCAGCTCCATAATCTCTGCTGCGGAAAGGACCCCCGGACCTCTCCTACCAGGAAGAGAATCTATGCAGCACTGAAAATCTAAGTCAATGCAGAAAACCTGGGTTCCTGCCCGGCCAGTGTGGCTCAGTGGTTGAGTTTCAACTCATGAACCAGGAGGTCTCTAATTTGATTCCGGGTCAGGGCACATGCCCAGATTGCTGGCTCAATCCCCAGTTGGGGGCGTGCAGGAGGCAGCCGATCAATGGATGTTTCTATCTCTCTATCCCTCTCCCTTCCTCTCACTAAAAATCAGTAAAAACATATTTAAAAATAAAAATAAAACCGGGGTTCTAAACTCTAAATGCCTATCCATGACGTTTACCAGAAAAATATTTTTATAATTACAAAATCCTTTCCATTGATTTCCTAGGAGTGACCATAATAATGTCTGCATAAAATAATGTCTCCAGCTCAAAAACTGAAAATCAGCAAGAATCACCAACATGTAAAGCCCAACAAATAGAAGTGAAGAGTTTCATTTCTAGGAATACAAGCTCCTTGCAAGAACTCATAAAGCACCTCAGGTTCATCTGTGCTTAAGATGTTCAGGAGGGTGATCCAGCTGATTCGCTCTCCTCAGCAAGACTCATTCCAACCCTTATGTCTTACCTTTAGTCCAAAACAGGATGAGAATACGAATGACACTACCACTAAAAGACACATATTAATGCACAGTGTTTTATAAAGTTAAGATATCATGAGTTTAAAAAGACCATACAATAATAATTCCTTATTATCCTGAAAGGCTGGCCTCTAACAATTTAAAAAGCCGATTGTCGGTGCACTCTGACCCATGCACTCTCATCTGAGAACCACAATGGCCTACCTGCCACCGTCCTCCGGTGCTCTGCCAGGGTGTACACCTCCTGCAGCGTTCTCCTCTGGTCCTCACTGAGCGGGGCCATCAGCAGTTGGTACCAGGCAGCGTCCCGATTCTGCACCGCTGTTGCATTTGGAGGGAAGGTGTAGGTGGAGGAGGAAAAGATAAGGGAGCCCAGTGACTATTATTTCAGACAATAATAACAGATCTAATTATAATGAACTGATCGCAGACAGGGAGAGACAGGAAGTACAGACAAACACAAGGTAATGAAACTTATTCCAACAATGGATTATTTCTGAGGATCCATTCAGTAGCCAACGATGTGGGGCTTTCAAACAACACTGAAAATCTCTGCTTTACCTAGTTCTCTGCCTCCTTCACCATCTCCTCTTCCTCCTAGGGTTTTACCAACTATGAATGCTCCCTAAAATCCAGATCTTGGGAAACACCTGTACCCTCTTGTTACCATTTTCCTCCAGAATTCTCAAACCACCGGCAGCTTCAGCATCAAGCCTCTACCAAGAACTCAAATTTGTACCTTTAGGCAAAATCGTTCCCTAAGGCTCCTGGGCCTTTCCATTTGGATAACTTGCCTCAAATTCAGCACAACTGAAAACAAATTTAACATTTTACCTCCCAATCCCTCTTCACCTCCCTATTTCCATCATAATTCCATGATTCTCCTAGTCAACCACTGTAAATCCCCAACATCTTTAACCATGTCCTCTCCACACCCAATCCTCTGCTGCTTTCTTAGTCTTTCACCTATATGCTTCTTTCCGTCACATATTGATTCAAAGATGACTGCCTATCACTTGAGGGGCATTTTAAAATACATATCCCAAGACCCCACCCAAGACCTAAAAGCTTCTGCTCATCATGATGCACACCCGTGTGTGGAAGCGACTCCCTCAGAGCATTCCCTCCCTATTCCCATCTCCACACCTTATGCCCTTATTTTCCCTGTGCTTCAGAATGTCCTTCCCTGTACTCTCTACCTCTAGTTCCTGCTAAATTTCAGCAAAAAAAGAGGTGGTTTTATTTTCATTAATAGTATTTGTAGCAACACTAAATAATGCCAATATATTATGTACTAGCATTACCTTGTTGGTAATAATATTTTATACATAAGGGTGCCCACTTTAATACTGCTTTATAATAGCAAAAACACTGGAAATATTCATATGTTCATCAATGGAAATAAATTATGATACAATCATAGAAATAATATCTAGATATATAAAAGCCTAAGCGACCAGCCGACCGTTCAACCAACCAACTGGTAGCTACAATGCACACTGACCACCAGGGGGCAGATGCTCAATGCAGGAGCTGCCGAGCTGCGGTGACTTGGCAGCTGCGGTTCTCGGGTGACGCACCCAGAACCAGAGAGGAGGGAGCCCAATTCCAGGGATTGTCACCTGAGAACCACCCTCTTGCAATCTGGGACCCCTTGGGAGATGTCAGAGAGCTGGTTTCAGCCCCATCCCCACAGGCCAGGCCGAGGGACCCCACTGGTGCACAAATCTGTGTACCAGGCCTCTAGTGTAACTATAAAACAAAAATATCTGTATTAATAAAATTTTTTCATTATGATTTTATAATTTTCTAAACATTTTCATTGGTTTATTATTTACATTGTATAAATTTCCCATTTACATATCCCATTTTTATATTGGGTTATTGGTCTCATTCATTTGTAGAAGGTTTCTGTTAACTGTGGATCTTAAGTGTAATATATGTATATGCTATATATCTTCTCCCAATCTTTTATAAGTCCTTAACTGTACTTACTAGTATAGTGTCCCTTGCTGTACAAAATTGATAAATTGCTTATATAGTAATAAAAAAAAACTTCTAACAAAGGGGAATGAAGGAAGAATTTAGAAAAAATATATGAAGATTTAGGGAATAAAGACATACCCAGCAGAGCTTGGGTAAAAAATTGATATTCATCCACACTATTGTCAAGGTCAAGTGGAGTGCTGAATCCCTCAAGGGCAGTTTCCTCTAAGACTTCTTCATCCCAGTCGTCATCATCTTCCTCCTCTTCTTCACCTCGGCCATTCTTAGACTGCATGGCTTGTGCAGTTATATTCGCTTCCTCTTCATCACTTGAAATCTCCTCTGTGAATCCATTCATTATTGAGAAGGAATCAAAACATATAAGAACAAAATATAAAATTCCATAGAATAAAATAAATGATAAAATGACATTCTGGAAATGGAAAAACTACCACATAATTTTATATAAAATTATAAAAATAAATCTTATCTTTACTGTAGCTTGCTAAACTGAAAATGACTTTATCCTCCTCACTGAAAACAATTTAAACTATGCCTAAATTTGTAGTCCAGCTGAACATTACTAGCGTTTGGTTATGGCCGCCTCATGTTCATTAATATAAAATACTACTTAACTACAGGTACCCAAATTAACTTTTTTGTCAAAAAAAGATATAAAAGGAATGTGCAGTCAGTACATGTGTTTTATTTTTTTAAATCTGAAACTTTTAACTCTTATTATGTCGCCAATGGCAACGCTGCTGATGGTCCCTGAACACAACAGAGCAACACCTGTATCGTTAAGAATTCAGATTTCACACTGCTAGTGATTCTACAGATATGTGTAATTACCTGACTAAGTATATAATGTGTTTTAAATAACAATGAACTCCCACTGAGAATCTCAACAATTAACTAAGTTGATTATGAATTGCTCAGAAATGTTTGAGTGAAGAGGTCATTTCTGCTAATAGCAACAGAATAATACAGAAATGTAAAGGAAAAATAAAACAGGTAGTTAGCTACATGTGGGTTGAAAAGTTAGAAGATGAATTGTTTATCACCATGGAACTTATTTCTGTTTTCAGTGCTGATCTGTTCCAATCAGTTAGACCAGTATTGTAAATAAGCAATAGACAGTAAATGCCAGGATTAAGACATTTAGAAATTTCTAAGGTAGTTTTAGAAATAAGGCAAGAAACCACAATTTTGACCCCATGTATAGATATGGCAAAAGTGTAATAACAAAGACAGCAAGAAATACTTTTGCTAGTTAATCATTCTATACTTTAGTAAGAAATTCAACAAGAAAGTCTGGAACATTGCAGAAAAATTTCCCTCAAGTCATCAATTATAAGCCAATAAAAAGTGAGTAATACAAGAAATCAGAAAGAGAACATCATAACATAGTAAAAAAAAAATTATATAATTGTTGTCATATACTAGTACTTAGCAAAAAAAAAAAAAACTTCTAGTAAAGGAACATTACTGCAAAAGATCTATATAAAATTCCATAGAATTTAGCATCAAAAGTAAAATTGTATATCTTCCATAAAATTTTTTGTTTTTAACCAAAAGAGGAAAAATTCCATTTGGAGTTGGATAATATTACGTCCTGAGCCCTTGCAAGAAGTCTTGCAAAAACATTAACTAAAATAAAGACCTAATACTCCTTTTCTATTTTGTTATTGTTGTTAATCCTCACCAGGGAATATCTTTTCCATTAATTTTTAGGGAGAGTGGAAGAGAGAAACAGGGAGAGAGAGAAAGAGAAACATCATACATCAATTGGTTGCCTCCAATACACACTCTGACCAGGGCCAGGAATTGAACCTGAAACCCAAGTATGTGCCCTTAACTGGGAATCAAACCCAAAACCCTTCCATCCAAGGCCCAGTGCTCTAACCACTGAACACACCAAACAGGGCAAGATCTAATTTTCTTGACTTAACAATCCTATTCTGACTCAAGTAAATCACCTTCATTTATGTACTTTATTCTAAATATATAATATGTAAATCACAAATATCTCCCAATTATAATTTTTGATGATGAGTTACCTAAGAGTCATTTTTCAAAAACCAGGCACTCAGCACGAATCTGCTGTACTGACACTTCTAAGTCTAATGGTTCATTTAACTTATAACTGTTGCCTTCACTGAGACTGTTGGGATAAATAAATAAATAAATACTGGGCTGTTAAGTTATTGTCAAGATCATTTAAGCCTGTTATAAATGTATTTCCCAGGGTGTAACAACATTCACAAGGCTCAATAATAAATCATGTGTCAAAAGTGAACAAATATAAATTTATATCACATGATATAATTAAGTCAACCAAACTCACACTATCTGTTAAATGTACAATAGACCAAAGAATATAAATCTGTTTAATAACTTAAATAGACTATGATTCAAAGAAAATGCATGCTCAAATAAAATTCAATTCTAGCATTCACTGCAATCGGAAGACTTTACCATTTTCTTCCATATCAGTTTTCTTTGCTTTTAAGCGATCTCCTTGGTTTCCCAGTTGTCTGGTAGCACAGACCTGCTTCAGGCCAAGGAAAAGGAAGAGAGCTGAGGGCACAATCTGTGCCACCACAGCGTCTACTGCAGGAGGTCGATTCTGCAATTCCAAGAGGATACTCAGTCCTATTATACACATCTTCCGGTCATGATGCCTACAAATTATGGAGGGTAAATAAATGTGCATGTGAGGAATGAGGACAAATTCTGAAGAAATTAAAAAAGGTGTACTCTAAGGTGCATTCCCTGAAATTATATAGAGATATCCCCCATTTTATACTCCATGAATTCCTATGTAAGTGAAGTTTTGTATACCAATTATCATCAAAGACCTATGGGAGTCTGCAATTAGTGTAGTGAATCTTACTGTACTATCAATGTATGATTATTATAAATGCTATATCAGAGCCTTGGTAAAACAAGTTTCATTAAAGCAGGAGTACCTATATTTGACAGCATAAAATTCCTATCCTATGGGAAAAAGGGAAGAGTTCCTTAGACTTCGTCTTTATTATCTTGGTCTACCAGGTTTTATGGCAGATACACTCTTACAACCCTAGGCACCAAAATTTATTTCAAAAACTCAGTATCTAATACTCTGAACTTAACATCTGTAAGTAAATCTATTAAATGTCTTCTGCTATAACAGACGACAAGGAAAATTTAATTATGAAGGAAAGAAATTTGACCAATATACATTACATACATTTTTCTACTAAATGTTTCTTCTAAGTTGTTTGGAACTAAAAAATATTAAGAATAAAAAGACTACTATATGGCATAACACTTAAAACTCTGGCATGAACAAAAATTCATTTGCAGTTATTCAATTTGTTTAAAATGAGAGTAATATACAACAAACCCAATGATGAATATATTTCAAGCTTCTGTTATTCTTCATTATTTGCATTGCTTGATTCATTCAAGTTACTACTGCCAAAGTAGTATGCTCTAACAGGAGCATACTTGCCCTGAGGGCTTTCTCATCCATGTAGCCCTAACTAGTAGTGCATACCAGGTGTCAAAGGGATCACAGCAGGAAAGATGATTATCAAGTGGGGCTCTAAAGAACCTAAGGAAGCCCAATTCAAGCCAAATTCAAGCATGCCCAGCCCATGCATAGCTGAGACAGCCTTTCTATCTTTAGAAAACTGCTTATAGATGCTAATAAAGAGACAAGAGTACCAACTGCATATTGTGAATGACCAAATCCCTATGCTCTAAATCTTTGTGAGAGATGACTTGAAGCACAATTTTTCTTTTCTTTTTTTAATATTTTTTTATTGATTTCAGAGAGGAAGGGAGAGAGTGAGAGAAATATCAGTGATGAGAGAGAATCATTGATCAGCTGCCTCCTGCACATCCCCTACTGGGGATCTAGCCCACAACCCAGGCATGTGCCCTTGACTGGAATCGAACCCGGGACTATTCATTCCACAGGCCGACACTCTATCCACTGAGCCAAACCAGTGAAGGCAACACAATTTCTTTTTAATGTTCATCCCTTACAGGCTTTATAAGAAATCGAAAGCAGGGCCAAATTCCAGTTTCCTACAAAAAATGAATAACTTGAATAAACACAGCAGTTTACAAAGATGTTCTACCTTGGTAATTTGGGCCTCCTTTATTTCCCCACCACTTCACAGTCTCCCAACTATTTCTCCTGCTGGAAGTCTTTGCTCACGAGCACATTTTCCCAAATGATATCTTACAAAGCTTAAAAAGAACATTCGTTATTTCTAATGCTTTAAACAAATTAGCTCCAATTCTAGCATAACACAGTCACTACTGTGTGTTGGGTCACTGGAGGTGGGCATATAACTACTTTGGAATCTGACTTTTCCTATGTCAGAAAACTAGGCGAGCGCTCCACGTAAGTACAGACTCTTCTACCAGGGCAGCTCCTGGCCTACAACTAACAACCCTGACCTCACCTTGGAGAACAGGCTCCCTGGAGATCTGCAAGGTGTTCACTATCACAGGACACTGCATTACATCTTTACCAGACTGGTAACTTCCTTAAAACTTGACTCCATTTATAATGTTTTTACCCACAAACACTTAATAGTCATGGAATCAGGATGAACACTTAATTTTTGTTACATGGAGATATAACAATACACACGAGTCAAAACAAGTAGGAAAGGGCTATACCTAATTTTCAAAGCCAGCAATCTTTCCACTAGATTATACTGCTGAAACACATTCCTAACTCTCTAAAAATTAAATATGTCAACAACACACTAAAAATTCTTAAGATATGAAAGTTATCTTTATATATCATATTATGTGTACATTTTAAAAATTCAACTTTCCAAAAACAGAAATGCAGTATAAAATTAAGAAAACACTTACCCAAGAAAACAATCTGTATCATTCATCCACTGATTTATAAACTGTACAGTTATAGGTCCAGGGTTATGAGGCAACTGAATTCTCTCTAGGGTATGTAGCAGCAAATCGGGGTTGTAGTACAAGGCAGCAATCGCAACCTGAAGACACATAGTCCGGAGCTCGCTGGTTTTGACCCCTCGGGTTAATCTCTCCAAAACAAGCTGAACAAAAAGGGGAATGCACTAGGGGAAAAACACAAAAAGAGAATCAACATACACAGAGAAACCAAGTAACTTTTATAGAAAGCTGAATATTGGTAAGAAAAGTATAATCAATAAATAAGATACCCTTAATGGCAATAAAACCTTTGCTTATTTAAATCATTTTGAGAGATATTAAATTTATATTCTCAAAAAAAAAAACAGAGTGATGAAAGGGCCAAAGAGAGATCCCAGAGCAGTGCCAGAAGTCTCCTTCCCTTTTCAGGGCAGAGTCCAGTTAGCTGGAGACTGTCCTAAAGAGTCCACACCCACATCGTGGCAGCAATCCAAATAATGGACTCAGCCTTCCATGTTTAAGGTAAAATGACTATGGTAATAAACCAAATTAGGGAGAGAAGTGCATAGGGCTGAGAATAAGCATTATGTGATTAGGATTTCTCTTGAGAAAGAAAATTCTTATTCGTATAAGTAAAAGAAAAAGACTAAAGAAAAACAGGGTGGACTTGGTACAATAAAGCAAAATCATCTGACCCCACCTCAAAAATGCATATTGATGAACTAATTTTATTAGAAATATTTGCCAATCGTTATTTTCAATAACAATGGATGGACTGAAATCATTTGTGTAATATAAAATTCTGAGGTTTTAAAATAAGCTCATTTTAAAAGCAAATTTTAAAAAATCAAAGTTTCAGAGAAGGATGGGTGAACAGGCAGAACAGAGGAATTTTAGGGCAGTGAAACTACTGTATATGCCACTATGAGGGTGGATATACTATGTCATTATAAATTTGTCCAAACTCTAGAATGTACATCAAGAGTGAACCCTTAAAGACCTTGTATGCATATATGCATAACCCATGGACACAGACAATAGGGTGCTAAAGGCCTGGGGTGGAGGAGCAGGGGTGTGGGGTAGGGCTGGAGAGGGCCAATGGGGAAAAAAAAGGGACATATGTAATACTTTCAACAATAAAGAATTATTTTTTTTTTAAAGTGAACCCTAATGTAAACTTTGGACTTTGAGAGATTATGATGTGTCAATGCAGGTTCATCAATTGGAACCAATGTATCACTCTGGTGAGGATGTGGGTAATGGGAGGTGCCATGCATGTGTGGGGGCAGGGGTGTATGCGAAATCTCTGTACTTTCTGCTTGATTTTGCTGTAAAGCAAAAACTCCTCTAACACATAAATATTATTTTAAAATGAATTTAAAAATCAAGGTTTCGCTAGGGGACTGTCTTGGGTGGGGAGAAAAAATGGACACATATGTAATATCCTTTGTAATAAATAATAAAATTAAAAAAAAAAAAAATCAAGGTTTCATGTAAATATTTAATAGTTAAATTGAATATGTTTTCTTTAGTAGACAAAACTATAAAAACATTGGGGTTGCCCAGCTGGTGTGGCTCAGTGGTAGAGCATCGACACATGAACCAAGAAGTCATTGGTTTGATTCCTGGTCAGGGCACATGCCCAGGTTGTGGGCTTGATCCCCAGTGTGGGGCATGCAGGATGGCCACATGAAAAGATGCTCATCATCATTAGCTATCAGGAAAAACTAATCAAAATTACAAGATACGATACTGGTATGATATTTAATCATAATTAATGAACTGGAAAGAAACGAAGGGAAGGCCAAATATTACACGCGTGCCTGAAGTGTTCTGACGCAGGAAGATGATTACTTGTCAGTCACACCTGGGAGCAGTTTATTGGCAAGAATAGGTGTGGCCACTGCAAGGGCACAAAATTTGAGATACATACTGGTAAGTTGCTGAACAAAGGAGTTCCCTCTCTTGCTCTCTTGCCTCTTGCTCTCTATTGCTGCTCAGGCCTGATTCCTGGCTTTCTGACTCTCATGCTCTGAGCCATGTGGACCCCACACACAATGGACTGATGGACTCCAACTAGCCTGATGTTACACTGGACCCAGCACCACCATGGAACAGAAACTCTGGACACTGGCTTTGCTTTTAGTTCTGCTGAATCCCCAGCTGCATCTTTTCCAGGGCTGGCTAAGGGAAATGGGACTTTGCAACCTGAGAGATGTAATTTCCACACAAATAAAGCTTTCTACCACATCTCATCCTCCTGTGGGGGCCTCTGGAAATGCTTACTCCAACAGCGCCCAAAGAATCCCACTTCCACTAACAACAGAGAAAGGCAATCCACGCAATTCTCTGATAAAAATACCACTTCTCATCTACTAGAACAACTATAACAAAGAAAACAAAGCAAATGTTCATGAGGATGTGGAAAAATTGGAACCCTCATTCACTGCTGATAGGAATGGGAAATGGTACAGCAACTTTGGAAAACAGTTTGGCAGTTCCTAAAATAGTTAGACATAGAATTACCAATAGAATTACCATTCCTAAATATATACCAAGAGAAATAAAAATGTGTCTGCACAAATATTCTATATAATAAAAAGCCTAGTATGCTAAGTGTCGGGTCATCTCATCTTTTCCAGGGCCTTCCACACAAATAAAGCTTTCTACCACATCCCGCTCAACTGCTAGCTATGATGTGCACTGACCACCAGGGGGCAGTCGACCAGTCAACCAGTCGCTATGACGTGCACTGACCACCAGGGGGGCAGACGCTCCAACTGGTAGGTTAGCTTGTGCTGGAGTCCGGCCAATCAGGACTGAGTGAGATGGGCCAGGCATTCCCTGGAGCCCTCCCACAGTCCCTCCCAAGCTGGCCAACATCCCGTGTCCCTCTCCAGCCCCAATTGTGCACCAGTGGGGTCCCTCAGCCTGTCCTTTGCCCTCTTGCAATCCGGGACTCCTTGGGGATGTCACAGAGCTGGTTTCAGCCCAACGGCAGAACGACCGGTCACTATGACACGCACTGGCCACCAGGGAGCAGACATTCAACGCAGGAACTGCCCCCTGGTGGTCATTGCACTCCCACAGGGGGGCGTCATTCAGCCAGAAGCCAGGCTCATGGCTGGCGAGTACAGTGGTGGTGGCGGGAGCCACTCCCGCCTTTATGGCAGTTGGACATCCCCCAAGGGTTCCCAGGCTGTGAGAGGGCACAGGCCAGGCTAAGGGACTCCCCTCCCCCAGTGCATGAATTTCATGCACCAGGTCTCTAGTTTACATATAAATGTTCATAACATTATTCATGTTAGTAAAAAAAATGGATATAATCCAAATACCCATCAAGTGATGGAGGACTAAACTGTGATATATCCATATAATGGAGTACTAGGCAATAAAAAGAAATGAATACTGATACAAGTTATCTCAAGGATGGGCCTTTAAAACATCACGCTAAGCCCTAGCCCAACCATGTCAAACTCAAAGGCTAACAGGGGCCAAACACACAAGGTTTATGTTTATGTGGGCCACACAAAAAAAAGCTTCAATTTTCATAGAAATGTAGGTTTATTTCGATAGAGACATTGCCGGGAGCCGGTCCATCCTTGCTGTTTCAAGGGACCTGGCATATATGGCATACTATTCTTAATATGTTTGCTCACCTTCTTGGCACTATGTGTTTTAACCAAGGTCACCTCTCCGAGAAAGGTTGTTTCCCCACGTAGGGATTTTTCCCTGAAGTCAGGGAGGGGATAAAACTCCTTAACTAAGTGCCAGACGGGTAGTTAATCACTTTAACTACAAACAATCATGCTTAAGCTACGTAATCTTTACTCCCTGGACTGGAGATAAGAAACGCCCTAACCTTTGGAATAGAGATTGATAGGATTGGAATCAACTGGTATAAATACAGATGCAACAAGACAACAGGAGGCAGACCTCAGAAGACAGACCTTAGAAGACAGAGCTTAGAACACAGAACTCAGAACACAGAACTCAGACG